CAATATAGGAATACTCTGAATATAATGTTTTAAATATTACCGTTTTATTATGTATGTGGTAATGACACAGGTGGAAGAAAGAGGTTTATTTTAACTGTAAGTAAGAGGTTTATTATGATATTTTATTACGGTATGACTGCAAAGCTCATTTGTTTTATATAATTTACACACACACATACATCTTTTATTAATATTTTTCCCTTCTGTTGTAGTTGAATCCAGATTTACTGTATATAGTGTACATTTGTACAAATATCGCTGTAAATATTTATGATGTGAGTTTGTTTTTATTTTATAATATTTTATGGACTTCTTCAGTTCTTGTGAAGAGTCATATTCAAACCTCAATTTTTTGAGGTGAATAACAAGCAGGCCGCTTGTTTGTGCATATTTACATTAATTTTGTCAAATAAAAATGAGCTACAATTTCCATAAAAACTTTGTATTATTTGTGTTGCTGTAACATGACAGATATTGACAAAAATAATCATGAATATAAAAGATTAGAATAAAATACAATAGAAAAGGGGGAAATGACAAAATGCAATAAAAACAGGAATTAAAGTAATTAAAAATGTAATTTAAACTGGCAGTATAATCAGTACATTCATAATTATTAATTTATATTTATAATTATTAATGTTTATAATTATTATCAGTTATTAATAATTATTATCAGTATATATCAGTCAATATTCACAATTTAAAAGCAATTGTAAAGCTAAACATTTACTTATGAAGTGTCATATTCAATCCTTTATTGGGAGTAACAAATTAAGCATATTTATTATTACTATTAAATGCTGCAATCTACACTTTATGTTCTTTGAGTATGACAATTATTCCAGGCAATGCAGCTGTCTGTTATTTTCTCATAATTCAGTGGATATCAAATTTTTACTGATTTGTTCAACAACATCATGAAAATCTATTTTTCTGAAGGACTGGGGTTGCCTCTGCTATCTTTTTCTCTTTTTTCTCTCGCTTCTCTGTTACCTCACTCTTACTGTCTGACAGCGAGGTGAGAGTTTCAGCAGTGTCCTGACAGAGGAACAGGAAATGTCTGGATGTGTTGAGAATGTGCAGGATAGCAGGTGGAAATATGTGATGACTGTTCAATCCCACACTAACACCACAGCCACACACACACACCACACTGGCACTCTTTCATTAGTCAGCATATAAGCCTTGCCTGCATGCCATGTGACACAGACACTTATTACATAATCAATTATGACACTGGACTGTCTTTTGTGTGAAGAACTCCTTTATATATATTTTAGTTTTTAAAGAGAAATTCAGCCATGATTTACTCACCCTTGACTTGTTCTAAACCAGTTAGATTTTTTTTGTTCTGTTGAACACAAAAGAAGATATTTTGAAGAATGTTGGAGACCTTTACTTACATAATATTTGTTTTCTTCTATTATGGATATTAATGGTTACAGGTTTCTCTACGGTGGCCGAGAGAGCTTAACATGCTGCAATTTAAGAAAAGACACGCAATTACAAAAAAGCGCCAGCAAATGGAGAAAATGCAGTTTGACAGCACACATGCTGCATATCCTCACAATGCAAATGCATTTTTAAAGAATGCACATCATTTTCTCACAACACAATGTTTCAAGGAGACTTAAGGGACCTGGCTATTTAGTTAGTCATTTAGACTATTAAATACTAAAGACACAGGAATCAGGGATGTTAAAACAAACAAAAAAAACTCACCTTTCAAAAATCACCTGTATATAACTTCTCTGAGCAATAGTCACTGCACAGCAACCTCAATCACATTTTTGGCTTCACTTGAAACATTGACGTTGTGTTTGGTTCATTTTGTGTTGTGAGAAAATGCAGTGCGTTTTTGTAAATTGTTTGGTTTGTGTGAAATTTAAGCATTTTTCATTAATCTTTTTATATCTTTGTGTTTTTCATAATTGCAGCACGTTAATCTGTCTTGGAGACCGTAATTCTCACATTCTTCTAAATATCTTCTTTTGAGTTCAACAGAATCCCTTTAATGTAAAAACAAAAATTAAACTGGTAAAGATAAAAAAATGGCCCTTAAAATGTAAGAAATGCACTTTTTAGATTAAATAAAATGCAAAGGTAGACCCCCATTTTGGCAAAAAATAATGCTATTGGTTGTAAGTGGAAAACATTCAGTTGTGGTTTTAATCTAAACCATGGGGCCTCAAGATAATTAAAAGATTTAAAATAGATAAGAATAGGATTTTAAACAAGCTAAAGATGTTTTATATATATATATATATATATATATATATATATATATATATATATATATATATATATATATATATATATATATATATAATTTCTGCAAGTCAAATTGAAGACTTTTTAAGACCTTTTAAGGCCATTATGAATTAAATTTTAGACTTAAAGAAGGCTTAAGGCTAAGATATTTTTTTTCTAATGGCCCAGTTAAAACTTTTAAAGAACATTAAAAATAAATTTGCTTCCAGTGTTAAACCATTTAAAATGTAAAACTTTTAAAAGTGTCTGCTAAATGACTAAATGTAAATGTAAATGTAACTTTAAGCTATGTTTTTATATAGCAAATATTGTATTCTTTTATTTATGTTTGGTCAGTGAAGCTGCTTTTAGTGAATCGTCCTTCAACAGTGACATTTATAATAAACTGAACTGAGTCAGAGTATTAATTTAACTAGAACTAAAGTATAGTGCTCTATCGCTACTACCTGCCTGATAGAATATATTTCACAACATGAAATATAGTTGTCATTTTTTTCTGCTCATCTGCAATGGTGTCACAAAAATTTACATTTTATGTACCAAAAGTCCGTTTTAGATGTTAAAAACATTTTGACATGTTCATATAAAATGATGTAGACCTTCTCTTTTTTAGTACAATTTGTAGATATACATTCAAAAAGATACTGAGCAAGGTACATCAAAGCAACTTACTCACTGACAACTGGTTTAATCCTCCAGTGTCCTCTTGAGTTTCCAAGTATCCCCAGATTCCCCTTTCTTCTTGTCATCCTCTTTAACTCTCTCCCTCCCTGCCTTAGATATTTTCTCACCCGGACTGCTGTGCTCTGTTCATCTTTCACAGGCTTCACTCCGTCTATTTCCTCTCTCTATCTCATGCAAAGGCTTGGGTTTCTATGAAACAATGGGGACACCGGTGAGAAGGGGACCAGGGGGTTTTGGGGGAGGAGGAGTGGATACATTTACCTTTGTAAGAGTGGCAAGGAAGGGGACTCCACAGTGTGTCATCAAAGAGCAGTTTGCTTCAGCTCAGGTGATCCCGGCAGCAGAGAGTGTGTGCCTGTGAGCTGCTGGCTTTGAAGTCTTTGTATGCAGAGCCTGGATTTGAATAGAATCACAATACTCCCTCCTTTTTTAAACAAATGATGCCACCTTACATCAGAATAGAACTGGTTGATCCTTCTATGACCGATTTTTGACCCTTCAAATCACCACTTAATTTGGTTGTAAAGATGATTGAATGATGCTATCATTAGGAGAATGCACAAGCAAATTCACAAGTAGAGATGATTTTATAGTATAATGTCGTTTTTGTTAGGAACAATAATTATTGACTAAACATTTTTGGACAACTTCTGATTCTACTCTAGGGTGCAAACAAGACTGTCCACTAGATGGCGTCACACACTCAGAAGCTAGAAGGAATAGCAGCTTTGTGTTTTAAACGCATCAAAAAAAGATTGTAAATATGTAAATAGAATATACACTTTTTTTTTTTTAATTATCCTTGCCAATTATTATGATCCACAGAAGAACTGGAATTATCCACCTTGAAAAATAAAATGGATGTATGAGAGAATATTAAAAGTTTAATTTCTAGACCTGGAATAGTCACAGAGGTTTTAAAATGCCACTATGAAATTATAATTATCAGATAAAAACTAAGTATCGAATATTCATTCATTCAATCAATGCTTTACCTTAGTAAATTACAAACTAAACTCATATGCATGTGCTTATATATGCATATGCATCATCATTGTGAATGTGGACTCTTTGATTTGGGTCAAAAAAGATTGTTTAGTTTGAATAAATGTATCTTAGAAATAAGTGTCGGTAAGATTTCATTCTAAGTTTCAGACAATGAATGCAAATTAATGGTCAATATTATACTTACTAACTGTCAATAATACATGTACTAATTAATAGATGTAGGCCTAGATTCAAAAATAGTGTTATGTGGAATTAAAAATACATTTATGCATCTCTTAAATCGTGAACACAGACAGTATTTTGTTGGAACAAACAGACAAAGTTATTAAATGTCCTGCATTTGTTGACGCATTATGCTATTACCATTAGCAGTTAAAACGAGCTTCTGCCTCGCAGGTGTGTTTAGCAGTTAACACAACAGAACATTGTGGTAGCAGTGCCTGTAAAGAGAGAGGCCAAGGCCAGTTCATTTAAGCCTGTAATGGTAAATCAAGGCAAATTGGACAGTATTGCATTGGTTAAATAAAGATTTACGGCGCCAGAGGTAATTGGCTTTCCATCTTGGCCAGATGTTCGCAGCTTCCATCGTGCCGAGAGACGAGGCGAATATAAGGTGAGAGCACGTGCTAGTGTTCAATTTAACAGCTGCCTGTTTGCCTCTCGCGTGAACACATCTGTTATTAGGACGGCTTCTCTTTTTGCATCTATTGTCGGTTTATTTGTACTCTAGATTAATGTTATGTAAAAATCTCCATTTGTGTTCGCACATAATAGTAGAAGAAAACGTGACACGCCAACCGTGAGCAGGCTTAAATGCTGTGGATAAAGGCGGCTTTTAAATCATTTCAGCATAACTCAGCCGTGGTGATTATGAGCAATTCAAATTAGTTTCAAATAGTTTTAAGTTGCCCAAACAGCAATCCATCATCCTGTCAAACGCCACGCCCTCTCGCCGTTCATTGGCTGCGGGGGCTGCACCTATGGCACGTCACCAGAGGAGTGACTTTAAAATTTTTCTCCCTGCTCGTTCATGTGTAATTTCAGCGTAAACTGACGTCAGATACACGATTCTGCAGCTTGTAGGAGGTTTTAGGTTCTGTTAGGAAACGAGTGGTTATAATAAGTAACGTTAGTTTAAAGGTAACATCACGAAGATAAAGTGTAATAGCGCGACTCAAACGCGAGTTTGACGGTTGTGGTAAAGCACTTCTTCAAGCAAGAAGGACGATTCTGAAGTTTCTGGAACCGAGGCTCTCGGATTATCAAAAGCGCATTTTCTTCAACGGTTTTGGGGTGGATGAAAGCAAAACAAGTTTGAGGACAGCCACTTTATCACTGTTTGATGCCTCACAGTAACTTCTGAAGTGATTCCAGCACCCTTTGACCTTCGAGATACGTACAAATAACGGTGAGTAAAACATCATAGGAGCGTTGAACATTTAATCACCAAACATTTTGAAATTCACCTTGAGTAATGGACTGTCCCGTTGTTTCGATGCCTTCCCGCTTTAACTGTTTCCACACAGCTCTGCGTGTTCAAACACGCACATCATAACGCATGCTCGTATAAATTGTCATTGTGTTTCTCTTTACCGCACGTTGCAGCTAACTTATTTGTCATAATGGTGGAGCTTTTATCAAATGCAGTATACATCTTATGCAGTTTACTGTACTTTTACCACAAATACGCTTTGTAGTGTATAACACTGCAAGTTATTAGTTGAGGCAGACAAAAATATATATCTTAGATTATATTCCGTGTTATTTGTACTTGTACGGGTGATTATTTTGCATTAACATATACGCTAGATTTGACATAACGGCTTCTTCTCTGTACAGTAACTCCAACTCAATGGCTGCATCTCAAACCATAGCAAGCTACCAACCTAAAAAACCCTGACTGAGCTCGTGTCTATGAAAAAAGCGGTCTAGCAAGGAAGCACACTATGTTTTGAGACACAGCCTTGATGTGTGCTGTCATTGGAGCGGAGAATTGTGCACAATGGGGAGTTGTGCGCGGAGTGTTAATTAAAAAGAGACCCGTTTTAATGAAACGGCGAAGCGTGTAGTTATATGGCCCCAGAGCGCATTATTAAAAGAGAAGGATATACTGCTAATCTGCGGTGGTGCCAACCAGGGTTTGGTCATTTGCTCACTGGACTCGCTACTATTTTTAGAGGCTGAGAACCATAGTGTTATGCTCATTTATTTTAATTATCAGCGACTCACGCTGAGCCTGTGCGCAGTTATTTGTTCTCCTAACTGACGTGTTATGACACTAAAAATTCACAGTTACTGCATTAGTGAATTATTGAAAACGCGAAACTGTACGCGTCCTCGCGTTATGGAGTTTCTATGGTGACCGCGCGGGGACTTCTCCACTATCGTTCCGCCCAACAAAAGGAAAAGTTGAGGCGCAACCGTAAAACATAATAGTGTGTTTTTAAGTCTCCTACACCATTAGGCTTGTTATTGATGATATGTGATTTGTCTTGTGGTGTAGAGCCATCATTTGCTCCGTCAAGCCGACACCAATCCATCAGTCTGCGCTCGGACAGCGACGGTATTGTGTTTCTCTTCATTAGCTTCTGTTTTTGCCTCTTATTTCATCAATCAGCCCGTTAGTCGAGTGGAACTGAACGAGCCTCCCCCTCTCTGACCTTTCTGATGACAGCGTTTAAATAACGAGAGAGAAAGAGAAGAGTTTGGTCTTTTCCAGAGTAACTCCTCACTTAACAGTACTTGTGTTGACTTCTTCAGTGCATTCATACGTTTAGGGCAGGGGTGCTCAATCTTGTTTTTTTTTCTGATAAAGGGTCAAAAACCAAACTTTATTGAGGGCTGTGGGCCGAAGTTAAATATACCAAACCATATTACATTAAATTAGCTAGTTTGTTTGCTAGTTATTTAAAAATAACTAGAAAAGGTTGCTTTAAAACATATTAAATGATGATGCAGTGTAATTTGTAACGTTTTATAATCAACGTATTATAGTAAGAACATAATCTCATTTATAACACAATGGAGCTCAATACTGAATACACTAGCTGAGCTGCTCCTGCCTTTGCCTTGATTTGCTCACCGATGGCTTGTGCATTGTCCTCCATCTGTCAAGTGACAGTATTTATGATGGAAAAGTATTATTCATATGAAACATTTAATTTTAGGTGGCTTTTTTGTAGATCCTCAATTAAACAACAACAAAAAAGGGTATACATTAAAGAAGTTCTAAATGACAATCTCTGCCAAAGGCATTCGCTCCAACCAAATACCTCCATCTCATTCAAATGGGATGGCGGGCCAAACCAAAGGTTACCTTGGGCAAACTTTAGTCTACGATCCCTACTTTGGGAACCTCTGGTTTAGGAAAAAACATGAATACTCAACTCAAAACGTCTGCTTTTCGCATGTGTCTATCTATTACTAATGTAAAGTTGCTCATTGTGCTAAGATGGCATTCTTTAAATGGGTCAAAAATAATCTGCAGAGCTTTTATGACAAAATGCTGTTATTAATTTATGCATCAGTCTACCCATGTTTGCGCATAAATCACACATTTTTTGCTTTAACTTCGCGGTGACCTTTAAATAAACTGCACTTCTCTTAAACGGTACATATTTTGTTTTCCTTTTAAGTCAGGAATTGGTCACAACAAAGATATAGGCCTATAGCGAGACAAACTCCTGGTACCCTGTGATAAGACACTACATTAAACCTCATAGCTTTAAAAAGGTTGTCGCCAAACGTTTCCAGTGAAGGATTAACTTACCTAAGTTATTAGAGGGATAATGTAATTGTTCTGTATTGAAACAGCCATGCCTCAAAGCCTGTGATATTCCCCCAGGGTCCCATTCGGCAGCATTGTCTCGCTCGCTCTCAGGTCTGCAGGAAAGGGATGATTAAAAAATGGGGGATTTGCATTTTCATGAAATTAACTGTTTCAAAGTTATTTGGCAACCTGCTTTAGAAAGGCGCTTCTGCAGGTGTGCGGGAATGACAATGTATGGTGCTTGTTACCGGTGTCAGTTATGGAGAAAAAGTCCTGAGGCCAAATCTGTTTGTGTAGGAGCGCTGAATAAATTTACTTTTGGTTCAGGTTTATAATCTTGTACAGCTGGTCCCAACGTGTTTAATAAGATATCAGACTCGCAGTTCATGTAAGACTTACAAATATGCCTAACTCTGACTTAAAAATGAAAAGATTAGAACCGAGGGTGTTGGAAATTGGTTTAAACTGGTGCCGAGCAAATTCGGCAATAAAATTCAGGCATGTAGGTTCATGTCAGTTTCAGGATACTCAAAATGTCACTCAAACCGTTTGAGGAGGAAATGCTAACCCAGCTGTCCAAGCATTGTAGAAAACCTGCTTGGCCAGTTTTAGCATAGAAGGTTGGAGAATGTGAACTACACGTGCACAAGATATCCTGCTTTTTTTTTTGCTGAACACTGATTTTTATGTTTCATGTTAAAAAAGTAGTTTATTAAATTCACCGCTGAATATAACTCTCATAAAGTGCTTTCATTGTCATCCAACATTGAAATGGACAGTTTTCGCCAAATGTAAAATTGTCATCGTTTAAGAGCCATATGTCGTTCAAAACATGTATGACTGTCTTTCGTTAGCCTGTGGTATTTTGAAAGTATCGACAATTTTGTTTGACAATGGTAACAAATGTTCATTTCTTGGGTCCTAGGAGCCTAAGTTACCTGTTTATACTCCCGTTTGTGGGAAAGTGCGTGGCAGCCGATATCTTATGTCCGGCACAAGGCTGGGACGACAGATAGGACCTGAGGAAAGCAGTCCCACTCATTGGAGCAAAAAGCACAAAGAGCCTTCCTGTTGCTTTCCTCTCCTCTTTTGACCTCTGCTCGACCCTAGCAATCAACAGGGCTCAGTTGTGACCTCTAACCTGGCCTCCGTCTCCAGTCTGCTGCCCACCGACCTCTACTTCGGAACAACAGAGGGAGGAAATAACAAGCGATATAGCCTCAGCCAGATGTCCGAAGCCTCTTCCTTACATTGCTGCTGCCTCCCCAAAAGGAGAAAACTGCACCGTCTGCCCCACACAGGATTTTGCTGAGATTCTCTGAATGCAGCAGAGAAGCTCTCTTTTGTGTCTGTACAAAAAAACATTGTGGTGATACAAAAATATTTTTAGAAATGAAATGTGTAAGCGTTTCCTTATGCGTTTGAGCGTATGTACTGCACCGCAGGTCTAAACGTTCTGCTTAGTTGGACGTTGCTCTGACCTTCCCAAACCACAGCCTTCATGCTTATTTTAGACAATGTTAGAAAAGGTAATATGTTGGCCTGAAGCTAGACATCATAAAACTGTACTAGTGTGTGTGGTGACGAGGGTTTGTGGTTCCACTGAATTCATCCTTCTGGAACTTCTGCATGAGGCTGTTTATTGAGAGCGGGAATAGTGTGCTTGCTCGCAGGGAAATGGCTGGTGAACAGTAACTCATCAAGGGAATACACTCATCATAAGTGAAAACATGCTCAAACTGAAATCATCAGACAGGGAATGACAAATCAGCTGCACTTTCAATTGGAAAACATCATTAACAGTGGTTAGTGTCATGATTGAGTTCCCGTGTCGGTTGAAATCTGTTTACCACAAGGCATTGCAACTACAATCTAGGACCCATCATTAAAAGCAATACATTGGAGTTCCATTTCTTAACTATTTTAGTTTACATGGTACAATAAGTACCTGGAACCGTGGTAAAACCAAGGGTGTTTATAAAGCTTCATAAAGATAAGGAAAGACGATTCTATATTAGTGCTTATATTTAAGATGCCATGTAGATGTGACGCCTGTTCCTCTGATCAGCATTTACTCTCTGAGATTGCGTACTCTGAAATGGAACAGACTTTAGTTTCTGTCCTTATGGTTCCAGTTAGTGCCATTTGAGAGCCACACTGCCTCCAGCTGGGCTTGATCTCTACTCGTATTTGCAATGAAAGTTCTGGAAATGAGATGTAGATATAAACTGATGATGTTAAGGCAGATATAAAAATCTGTGGACTACATCATTTCCATAGAATTGCCTGCAGCATGAGTTTTATTATAGTTCTGTGGTAATAACATTGCACTTTTCCTTTTTTAAAATATAAATTTAAGTGTAACTTCTTGAGTTGTTTCATAACACCATTGCGCTCGTAAATGCTTATTTTGTAAGGATGCACCTATATGGATTTTTTGCCCGATATCGATAACTGATAACTCTTCAGATTTGGAGGCTGATAAACAATATATTAGCTGATATAGATATTTCAAAATGTTATGTTTTTTATACAGTGAACAACTGATTTTATTTTAAAACCTTCATGAAAGTTTGAACTTATATTAAAATAGTCTACTCTAGTAGTTTACTAATAGTTTGCAATAATTTTAAAATTGCAAGTTGATTATAGACCTATACTCACAATTTTACATAAATCAGCATGCCAGAATATTTTGTTTTCTTTTTCTTTGCTTGGCAAATTAACATGCACCTTGACTGTTGCATAAAATAATAGGTTAAATAACAAAATGGGACCTAATTAACAAACAAGTAAAATAAATATGTACTAAATATAATGAAAATGAAAGATCTAAGAACTGAAACCAGCCCAAATGTTCTTAAATTAAATGTGTTACAGTAATGTACATATGTGCAAATATGTAATGTCAAATAAAGCGTTTTGAGAGGTGTTTTGACTGTTCAGAGTCATCGTTCACCAATTAAAACCAGAATACACAATGTCAATATTTCAATCCATCTATTTGTATGCACATTTTGGATATGCACATAAAAAAACGTTTGATGAAAACGGCATGATGCGCAGAAAAAAAAAATGTGTGCGCAAAACTGAGTAGGATAAACTTTTTATTCAATAAGAAAATATTTGGAGAAACTGCGATGGAAACACTTTTACCGAACAAATTCCAGTATGTGCATTAAAAAAGGTCATGTGATTTTGTTATAAGAGATCATGTGATGATAAAAATGTGTGTGAATGTACAAACCAGCAGCTGAGCACACTGTAAAACATCTGAAAAGTTGTTTTGGTCATTCTAAAATGCCTTAATCATTACAGTATTATTGTTATTAATAACCTCCAAGAGCACCTATGCTCTGCGTCTCACGCCTTCAAACACAACCACACGTTCACTGTGTCAGGATTGCCTTCTGAGGTGCACGTCATTTATTAAATGAAGAAAAGATTCATGCAGCTTCTCCTACCGCAGCTTATTCTGTTTTTACAGTTAATATTTTGCGCCAGTTAATCAGAAAGTGACTATTTTGTTTGCTTAGGCTTGTTGGATGGAAACGCTGCTTTATTCGCACATCTTTTAAGCGGTAATCCTGTTTTGCACATAGTTAATTCGCATTTTTGGATTGAAACATTGCTAATGACACTCTTTCAAACATGTCTTCAATGATGAGGAATATGGTTACTTATTATATAATGCACGTGCACTGCAGCAATACCACACAAGGAAAGGATGGACTTTGAAGGAATAAACAATGTGAGGAAAGCTCCGTTAAAGTGCACTGGACAAGTCTGAACATGATCGATCCTCGCATGCGCAAGGCAGTCAGTTCTGTACAATTATGTAATCTATTGGCTTAAAGATATCGGCCTAATTTTGATGTCAGACCGTTAACATTAACAATAGCATTTATCGGCCGATAAAAATATGACTGCCGATATATCAAGCATTCCTAGTATTTTGAATGCCTGTACGTGTACTAATACAGATTGATGTAGTATTACTAACTGCTATTAATAAAATGTCATATTTTAATTTCTTATTGATTTGTTTAGCAGGTGTTGATCATCTTATTGTTTAGTGTAATATCTAACATATTATTGGATAGTGTTCATCTATCATTTATTAATTTCAGTGGAACCTGGGTTTTGTATGAAGAGAAGATTGTTATCTGAATAGGCCTTGTGTACCTCTGTATTCTTGAGACTTGGCCAAGACATACATCGAGTGCTCAAGGAAGTCTTTTTCACTTTTGTTGCTATTTATGTTGGATACAGTTAGGGGAAGGATCAGTGGTATGGGTAATATTTGGTTTAAGGATTGGTTATGTGGTAGTTCAGTGCAATTACAGATTATTTACAGAATTAATTACAGCTCTAATTAAAATCAAATAATATATGTACAGTATCTACCTTATAACTGCAGGGTTTCAAACGGATTAATTTAAATGTTAGCACACAGTAACTGTTGACACTTAATATAGAGTGGGTCCTGGCAAACAGTTAAAAACAACATTGTGCAACCCTACTGTGTATTCTGGGAAACTAACCACCAGCATAAGTAGTGTAAACATAAGACTACTACAGTTCATCTGAAAATAAAGTACCACTAAATCAGTTCTTTTCCTGTTCTTGCTCCCCGTCATGTCCTGTGGAAAATTGTTTACATTATGTAGCAATGTGTTATAATGCCATTTGGTCATTCAGCATTTTTATGCTTATATTTTTCTCGTCTCAGCATGTGGACATTGAAAATGAAATTAGTAACATGGGGAGAAATATATCTGTCCCATTATTCTGCTATTATGTTCTCTAAGGATGAGGAGAATGTATTATGGTGATTTATTTGAAGAGGTTTGGGGGAGCATCTCTAATGGCTGATCTTCTGATAGTGGTGGAACTTTGCCTCTGGATCTGCTGATTTACGAGCGTCTCCTCTCTGTCCCGCAGGCAGGCGATGGTGAACAGTCGTGTGGAAAGCTCCGCTGTTGCGGTAACAGGAGGCAGTGGTGGGGCCGTACGCTCCTGTGCTGGATGCGGTGGTCGGATATCGGACCGCTTTCTGCTCTTCTCTATGGATCGGTACTGGCACACGCGCTGCCTCAAGTGCTCCTGCTGCCAGGCTCAGCTGGGAGAGATCGGCAGCACCTGCTTCAGCAAAGGAGGGATGATCCTCTGCAGGAACGATTACATCAGGTACTAAAAGAAACAGGCAGTTGGGGGGTTTGGCGGGACTGATGTAGAAAATGCTGAGTAAGAGTGAATAAATGATGTTCTCGGCTACAGAATCAGTCATAACATTACACAAGCAGGACAGGAAATCTGTGGATGGACTTGACTCAAACTAATAAATCATTTCTTTGTCTAGTGATATTCATCTTTATTTTATAAATTGTACACATCTATACAATCATTTAAATATTTATTAGGGGAATAAGTAAAAAAAAAAAAGTTAAATATGGAGGAATTTATCCAAGAAATTTGCAGACAATTTTGCGATAAAAAATATATATATATATATATATATATATATATATATATATATATATATATATATATATATATATATATATATATATATATATATATATATATATATATATATATATATATATATATATATATATATATATATATATATATATATATATATATATATATATATATATATATATATATATATATATATATATATGTATATATATATATATATGTATATATATATATATGTATATATATATGTATATATATGTATATATATATATATATGTATATATACACACACACACACACATGTATATATGTTAAATATTATCTGTATTTATCCAAAACAATGACACAAATCATTAAAATAAAGTTTCTTTTTTTGGTCTCTTGTCAATACAAGATCTGAAATGGTAGGGATTAAGCCAAAGGAAGGTTGTATAACTCTTAATTTTATCCATAATCTTACTTTTTCTCAGATTTCATACTCAGAGCATCTGACATCGTCACACATCAAAAGAGTCATAAACACTTTCGTTAGTTGGATCAGCTGTGTTTGATAGGGTTGGAGCAAAACTGCAGAGCTGCAGCCCTCCGGGTATTGAGTTTGAGACCTATGCGTTAGGGCTTCCTCTACCTTAATACACCTAAAACACTGACTGCTGTACTCCAACTCGGCAATGACAGGGAAGCGTTTTCTCTCGTTAACTGCAGGGAAGGAGTTAAACGAAATCATTTATCGATTTGACGCACACCATAATACCAGCCATACATCTAAAGCAAAAAATAATGTACTTCAATTCGGTCACGTCCATCAGCCGTTACCCTTGAATCAATCTCATCTCCACCTGTCTGTTCCATTGCTCCGTTTGCTTCAACTTTCTTTTGCAGTCCAAAGCGTGTCAAATGCACAAAACGCCCAATTCATGCCAAAAGATGTCTATATCTCATCTTTGCTATGACTTCACATGTAAATCACTTGCGCATCATCTGCGTCTGCTTACTGCACAAGCTGAAAACTCCCCTGCCCCCTATTCCATGTAATGTTTGGATTGTGAGGGTGCAGGTGAGATGTAATTTTTCGAGAGACACTCTAATACATCATGTGTGCTGCGAATGCAATGTCTATTAGTCATGTAAAACAATTAATTGCAAACAGAAATAAATGTCATTTGATTATATGGTTTGGAATTTGATGTTTTATGAGATTATATCATCTTTTGCGATTATTTTTAGTTTAATTAGGAATTTAGCAGAATCGCAAAAATTTGTGGCTTTTTTTTTGTTGATTTTGCGTTGGATTTAGCAATCACATAATCGTGAAAAACTAGGGGGTCTGATTAACTCATTCATTCATTTTCTTTTTGGCTCAGTCCCTCTATTAATTGGGGGTTGCCACAGCGGAATGAATCCGCCAACTTATCCAGCATATGTTTTACGCAACAGATGCCCTTCCAGCTGCAACCCAGCACAGGGAATCATCCATGCACTCTCATTCACACACATACGCTACGGCCAATTTAGCTTACTAAATTCACATATAGCATGAGCTTTTGGACTTGTGGGGGAAACTTGAGCACCCAAAGAAAATCCACGCAAACATGGGGAGAATATGCAAACTTCACACAGAAATGTCAACTGAACCAGCCGAGGCTCGAACCAGTGACCTTCTTGCTGTAAGGCGACAGTGTTACCCACTGTGTCACTGCACCGCCCACTATATAGTTTTCTGTTAATCATAATTGATTGTAATTACAAAGATTATAGAAGGTGTAACAAGGAATTTTTTTCTGAAAATAGCATATTATATCATGGTAAATGTGGAAAGTGGTCTGTCATAAGGTCATCTTTTGGATCCGACAAAGCGTTTAATAATATGTAACAGGACCAAAAAAGTTGAGCGATCATGACAGGAAGTGTGTGGGTGCTTGTAACATGGCATCTGGAGCAGCCATATTCCTCAAAGACTCCCCACATGTTTTTCATGTGCCGTACAGTGCTTTAGACTCAAACCACAGTCAATGATTAAATGAAAACTCTACTCAGAATTGTCATTCTGTCATAAATTTTGACCAGTCTACAAAACAACCGTAACCTTGTTTTCCAAACTCTAAAAACCATTCGTTTATTTTAATGGCGTTTTTCACTGGGGTCCATGATTGCTTGTATGTCTGTATGATGATTACATAGCTCTTTGATTGAATTTGGCCTCTATTCCCTTGTATATTTTGAGCTGAAGGCTCCAGAGGTGAGGAGATTAGATTTGTTTATAATCGCTGAGGCTTTGAAATTGACCTCTGTGTGTTTGGATGTGTGCAGTGATGCATTGGTCCATGACGGCACGCCATTGTTGCCTGTTAGACCCACACTGGTCTGTTTGGACCCAAACCAGGGATATCTAACTATTTGGCATTACCACACTGTGTGTGTGTGTGTGTGTGTGTGTGTGTGTGTGTGTGTGTGTGTGTGTGTGTGTGTGTGTGTGTGTGTGTGCGTGTGTGCGTGTGCGTATTTGCTGTAAAAGTGCCAGAGATGGTTGCTCAAAAGTCAAACAATCTCACTGGCTCTAAAAAAAAGGGAAGAAAAAATGCAGACCTGGCATAAAAGTTAATTACTCGGATAACTGAAAATGTACATAATATTTGACATAAAATAAATAAATGCAAAATAATTATTATCGTACATGCAGTTAAAGTCAGAATTATTAGCCCCCCCTGAATTATTAGCCCCCTTATTTTTTCCCCTTAATTTCTGTTTAACAGAGAGCAGATTTTTTTCTGCACATTTCTAAACATAATAGTTTTAATAACTCATTTCCATTAACTAATTTCTTTTATCTTTGCCATGATGACAGTAAATGATATTTGACTAGATATTTTTTCTAGATATTAGGACATTTCTATACAGCTTAAAGTGACATTTAAAGGCTTAACTAGGTTAACTAGGCAGGTAAGGGCAATTAGGCAAGTTATTGCTTAACAGTGGTTTGTTCTGTAGACTATTAAAATAAAAATTAGCTTAAAGGAGCTAATAATTGTCTTTAAAATGGCTTTTCAAAAATTAAAAATGTTTTTTTTTTTCTAGCTGAAATAAAACTAATAAGACTTTCTCCAGAAGAAAATATATTATCAGACATACTGTGAAAATTTCCTTGCTCTGTCAAACATCATTTGGGAAATATTTAAAAAAAAGAAAAAAAAAGGAAAAATAATTCTGACTTCAGCTGTATAATAACTTATTAATATTAATACATGTAATAATTTACAAACTCATTTAACGTAGAATTTTTTTGCATTATTATTTCACTTATAATTTATACATTTGGAGTATTATACATTTTAGATTGATATAAACTAAATATTAGTAAATATTACCAATAAATAATAATCAGTACTGTTAATTCATGTTGTATTCATGTTTTTTTAAATTATTTATTACTATTAAAATTAGCTTATAAAATTGTTTAATAAAAATTAACTGCATACAAATTTTAAAATGATATATTTCATTGCAGTAGTAATATTAATAATATTAATCTTTATTAATAATATTAGTCATTGTCATTAATTAAATTAAAAGTCTTAATGTACTTTGAAATAATTTTTTTTATTATAAATTTTCTAAATTCTTGTAGATTTGTATGTAATTATATGCAGTTTTTTATGGCTGATTCTAGTTTGAACCAGGGCTGCACAATAATGTAAAAATCTGATATTTTGATAATCTGAAATATACTGAAGCTATATGAATACAGTTTCATCAGATGGCATGAAAAGCTCTATTTGAAAAAAAATCATTAATTCAGATTGATTGGAATAGGGAAGTGAATCATGCATAGAAAAACGTAAACAAATTAGATAAATTTCAATAAAGCTAAATTTATTTATTCATTCATTCACTCATTTTCCTACGGCTTACTTGCTTTATTCATATGGAGTCGCCACAGCAGAATGAACCGCCAACTTTAAACAACATATGTTTTACACAGAGGATGCCCTTCCTGCTGCAACCCAGTACTGGGAAACATCTATACACACTCGCAAGCAGACATACACTATAGCCAATTTACTTCATTCAATTTGCCTATAGTGCATGTCTTTGGACTTGTGGGGGAAACCGGAGCGGAGCACGCAGAGGAAACCCACGTGAATATGGGGACATGCAAACTCCACACAGAAATGCCAACTGACCCAGCTGGGACTAGAACCAGTGACCTTCTTGAAGTGAGGTGACAGTGCTAAGCACTGAGCCACCATGTCACTTATAAAGCTAACTAAATCAAATAAATAAACAGTGCTTTGGTTTTCTGTGGACTCGAACAGTATTCAGTTCTGAAATTGAATAATGAAATGTAAAATAGTCATCTTGATTGAATAAAAATGATTCAATAAAATGCAGTATACTATACTGTGCCTGACTTCTTTAAGCTTTTAAAGAGAAATGCTCACACAGTCACAAACCTTAAAGACACAGACAAATGATAAACCTTTACTCCCTTTGTTATACACAAAAGTCTCATGTATTCTGAACTATGGTCAACTATTATTCTAACTTTTGGTCAACTATAACACCAACTCATTGCACATCCTGGGATGTGACTATTGCAGATGCGCAGAATGCCATGTCGATGCAGAAACGATATATTGTGCAACACTAGTTTGATCTACAAAAACATTCTCAATCTTATTTTATTTGTCTTATTTCCCATGTATTCGCTATCTTTGCCATTTTTTGACTGCAAACATACCAAGTTTTCTTTTTCCAAATCACGTCTATTTTCTCCACAAATCTAATGCGACAGAATTCACCAAGTGTCATCCCATTCTAATGAAGCAAAAAATTGTCAATTCAAAACATTACTATTTAAAGAAAAAATTGTCAGTTTTAACTGAAGAGTCCCAGAGGGTTAAGAGAAAAGAAGTGGCTAATGATCTACACCATATAATCAGTTCTTGTTTTATGACAACTTTGGATTATATAATGACTTGAGTGAGAAAGGGACACTTTTTCTTTTTTACTTTTTACAGCACTCTAACTCAGCACATGTTAGACATGTCAAGGGTAGTCTCTTGGATATTTCCTTAAAGAGTGCATGTAAGGTGTACTCAATCTGCAGTGTATTAAATATGTATAATACAGCTAATCAAAAGGGCAGAGCTTCATTACCAAATGACACAGCGTGGAGCCTGAGGTCTGATAAAAGTAGGGTGCATTAATTAGGGAGAACAGGGCTCCTTTCTGCCGTCTCTTATTAAATTACTGTTTGGATTAAGATCAAAAATTCATTACTGCGAGCAGTCAGAGCTGGGACAGTGATAGCGGAGGAGGGGTTGAGAGAGAAAGAGGCCATGGAGAAGAGGAGAAAGTGAGGGGCTGAGAATTAGCTGCCAAACCGATCTGCTTACCGTCACAATAAAGACCCCAGAGAGGGAGCGGAAGAAATGTTTCCTACTGAAACATGACTGTGACACGGTGGTGGGGGCTCCAGGTGTTCTGAATGAAAACAACTTGTTTGTGTGTATGCAACGTGTGTGTGTATGTTGCATGGTGTTTGTGTGCATCTGGGTTTTATCTCTGGACGACCGAGTTTGTTGATGATTTTTTTTTTTCTTTCAGCTCATCAAGAGCACGACTTGAACTCATTTGAGTGTTCTCCTAAAATTGCCCATAACAACCTCAAGCTCAGGCAGCGGAGTAATCAAGTGCTCCCTAATTAGGAGCCAAGGGTGGATCAGAGGCTCCTATAGCCACCCCCCACCCATTGCCACCAATTACACTGCCACTCCAGATTAGCTGATAGGCTGCAGTCTAGGACTAGAGGGGCTTTGGTGCCCTGCCATCTAAGCCACGCATACACAAACACACACATCGCAAAACGCTCCAACTTCGAGACGTAAAAATTAAATTTCCTTCGAGTGCAGTGCTAAGAAGTAGATCAGGATGATTTGTGTGTTTTTGCCATATGGTAAACAGTTTTCATCCTTTAAATGAGAATGCCACTCATTTTGGTCCTTATAAATCATGTCGACTTATTTATAACTGCTCTGTTGTAACTTCAGTGTTCATGTTGAAACTAATTGTTGTTTGTTCCCCCTTCAACAATGCAGGTTGTTTGGTCACAGTGGAGCTTGCAGTGCATGTGGACAGTCTATTCCTGCCAGTGAGATGGTGATGAGGGCCCAGGGTAACGTCTACCATCTAAAGGTGAGCCACAGTGTCCACAAAAAAAAAAAACAGACTTATAAAAGTTTCATCTGTGCATGTTTTTTTTTTCTATCTTTCAGAGCTTTACATTTTTAAACAAAACGCAATTCTATCTCCTGCTGAAAAAACTGTGTCCAACTTTACCTAATATTTCAACCAGTTTGCATGTGTTCATATTTGGCAGGTTTGATTTGACACTGAAAGGTTATATAAACGTAATAAATCAAAGACCTTTAAATAAAACAAAACGGGACATGATGTTACAAGACATGCCCACAAAAAGGACAGAATGCTTTAGCTTACATGTTTTTTTGGGGGGTCATAGCTGCACTTTGGAAGATAAATTTCTTGTCTGAGATCTTTGTGTGTGTGTGACAGGGACATTTCTGGTGTTGTTTTGACCTGTTTATACATTTATAAACTCTTCATAAGTAGGGTTGGGTATCGTTTGGGGCTATTTCAATACCGGTGCTAAATCGATACTTTTAAAACAGTACCGGTGCCAAAACGGTGCCTGAACCGATACTTTTTAGCCACAAAATTATTTGACAAAAAAATATTTTAAACATTATAATTAAACAATATAAATATATATTTATAATAAGTTTAAAGTAAACATCAATTCATATATTAAATATTTGAATTGCATTAATAAATTTCTTTTGATAACCCCATTTTGATGTGATTCATTATAATGCGATTTACCTTCTATGTGAGATTTGATTGGACAGGAATCACAGGACTGATTTTCCTAATCTCCATAGACAAGAAAAAATAAAGTAGTAACGGCAGGTTGAAGAAAAATAGTGGAGCAAAAGTACTGATTACTGCACTAAAACTGTACTCAAGGGAAAGTACACATTTTTAAAACTACTTAGTAAATTACAATTCCTGAGAAAAACTACTCAATTACAGTAATTTGAGTATTTGTAATTAGTTACTTTACACCACTGATATTGGTGTGTCAGAATTCTTGCTTGTAAAATATAGCCATACTTTAGAATACTTAGTTTAAGCTAATTAGATGAACGCGATCATGCGAGTTGATGAAGTGAGTCGCTTATATTGCGCGCTTTGCCTTTTGTAAGTAACAATAACTAACGCCTGATATCGCAGATATCCGTATCCCTCAAAGCTGTAGAATTAAACATTTAGAGATAGTGTGACACAACGCTTACTTACGTGTGCCTTTAACGCACGCTTTTGTGCTTCTTAAGGGCGTCAGCAGATGCGCCGCTCCGAGCCGCAGCACGGCGCGCACATGACCGTTGATCACAAACCAGACGTGCACATTCGCATTTTATTTAAAATGAAACTATTCAGATAGCGCTCTGTGGCATGGCAGAAATATGAACAGTCATGAGTCGTGCTTGGGCGCTGCTGACTTGCGAATTCATGTTGCTGTGCGTTGCCAAGCTGCGCTTCTGCTGCAACCTGCTTTATGTTTTTGCTACAGCACCGAAATTAGGCACCGAAATTCATATGATGATTTGATCCAGTGCATACCGGTTCCAAAGGTTGCAGTACCCAACCCTATTCATAAGTTCTCAACTGATAAACAGTATAACATGTACGCAGTCAACAAACATGTTTAGCCCAGTACTTCGCATTGTTTTGGATATTTGTTTAGTTTATCTCATGTAAGCCTTTTTTCATTTTTTTTAGGTTCCATTTTTAACCCTTTCATGTGTAGGATCACACCGGTGTGATTAGCCTCAGTTGGTCCCTTAAGTGTACGATCACACCAGTATTATTGGAACGTTAAGACTGAACATCATCAACAGCTAAAATTCAAATCTGATGGTGCGCAGCGCTTATCATAAATCACAATTTATCTGTGCTTCCAAACAAATAACCTTTATTTTAGGTTTCAGACATTCGAATACACATAACTACAAGCAAAACATACCACTTAAAGTTCCTACAATGCATGCAGCTGTCTATGGAGACGGCAATAATAACTATTTCTCAATATAACTGGACAATGTGCGTTGCTTGCATAAGATACACACTGTTTATGTTGCTAAAATATTTTCTATATTCCTTTCAGATAAACAGTTGCTTACCTTCATGCATTTCCGCAGAATATTATGAACAAACATATATCCAGCATAACAACGTAAATCCAGCAGCTCGGATCTCTCCTGTGGTTGTTGCTAGAAGGGATACAGTTGTGATCGGAAGTTGTTGCTCGAAGAAATACAACTGAGATCAACAAGTATTAATATTATTTATTAAATTAGCTATTAATTGTATTTTATTAGCATCTACCCCTCCTTTAACCTTAAACCCAACCTTAATAGAAATGTACAAAATTTATTTGTTGTATAGCGTCACAAAAATTATGCTATACTGACATGAGTAGTCTCAGCTGTATCCCATCTAGACTTCACCGAGCTGCAGGAGAGGGTGAAGTCTAGATGCGATAAGCTAAGGATACTTGCGTCAATATATAATAATCTAATAAAATACAATTTTAGCTAATAAAATACATTAATAATTATTAATTAATAATTATTTAATTAATTATTAATAAAAATTTAATAAAAAATATTAATACTTCTTGTTAACTTCCAATCGCAGCTGTATGCCTTCTAGCAACAATGGCAGTGCCCATTACCTATCATGTAACAAAAATAATAATTTCATTACTAACCTGATTAAAATATAAAATATATGTTCTATCACATATTTGACAATCAGAGTATCAGAAATTTCACAATAAAATAAGAACATTTGTCAATATTTACAGAAAAGGGCAAAATGAAACAAAATACAACATATACATAGATCATTGGGGCTGGTGGGTCTCATGATCAACTTGAAGTGTCAACATGGGAACTTTAGAATGCAATCGATTCTAAGTAATGGTCACAAAAAAAAAAAACTCATGCAAGAGGGTCAGCTGGAGTATTTAAAACTCACATGTGAAAGGGTTAAAAATAACAAAGGGAACTTAGGAGAAAGCAAAAACTATTTATAAGAAAAAACATACATTATCAAAAAAGTTTCTTTCTCTTGTTTTTGTCCTAAGTAAAGAACAAAAACATGCGAACCACAAGTATGAGCACACCCTTAATCTTAGACCCCATCTTTTTCGATAACCTGTTTTACAGGGATGCACTTCACGGTATCCGAGAATAGATCTTAATACTTCCAAAATGTATTTACCTCAGGCTGAGATGGTTTACTTGTGTAATATAATATATTAGTCATAAAACTGTCTATGCAGATCTGATAAACACTATAATTATTTTTTCATTCTGGACTTGAAATAAGGTGTAATGCATGAGGCAGAAGAACAAAACGATTGTACTACCCTACACAGCAATGTGACTAGCTTCAGAAATTTCACACTGTTCAATCTGAAAAAATATAAGCTAAGTCTGTCACAGGAGGATTTATTAACTACGTTTTGACTATTTGTGGTTACTGCATTTGGCTTCAAATGACATCACATTGTCATTCAGAATTACATTGCAAATATAAAATACTTATGCAACATTCTAACTTGTATGGTTGCAATTTCTTAACCAGTTTCAAACATTGGGGGAAATTTTGTACATTGCAATTACCAAATTCTCTTTGACATCGGCATGTAAACCAGCAGAATTTGCTCAACATAAGCTTGAGTCAATGTTTTATAGTCAGATTGCTGACATTTTATTGTATTGCTGCTCCCTTAAGGCTGAGAAGTTTATTAAAAGATTAAAATATGTGATTCTTGCAAAACAATGACCTGGATCCACATCCCATGTCTCCAGAGTGAGAATCTGAGGAATTAACACTGTATTAACATATTTGTTTTTCCTTAATATTTTATTACCATTTGGTTGTAGTAAAAACATCTATAAAAACCCAAAGTATCCTCTCTTTTTGGGAAACTTGATTTTTCAATGAATTGTCAGGTGAAGTCTTGCAGTCATTGAACACGGATATCAGAATAGTCTCATGAGACGCCTACCGAAACTCATCAACTAACCATTTTCCCAACTGCGCCACACATTCCTCCTTAATTATAGTGGTGTAGGTGTCAACCTGTCTTAATAATATTTGATGGAAAAAGGAAACCATTCCCTGATTAAGCTGAGTGGAGCAGTTTGGTTTCCCAGTGGTCCATGTTTGCATAAGTTCTCAAAATTGGGTAACTACATCCTGACAAAATTTCTAATTTGTGAGCATCTGAAGAAATGTGAGCTTCAAGTGTAATAGATTTTTCCAAACAATGCAGATGTACCATATGTGCTGGTCTTTCAGTAGTGGGAAACTATTTATATGATATTTCCCCTCATTTTGATGGTTCAGTAAATGAAGCTTGTTGATATTATTAACTAATCATCCATGGATATGTGTCTTTTTTATTTTAAATACTGATACTGGCATTTTTACATCTAAAAAACCATCAGTGATCTTCCACTTAAACATTGCTCCTCACTCTCATGCAATTGTCTATAAGCTTGCACTCAATCCATTAAACAACCGAGTGAAAGAAATCCCAGCAATATATTTTTGATTATCCATTTCAACTGGATGCACACCAGTATACTATAAAAACCTCTCTGTCATCTCAACTCCAATTGATTTCCAGCTGTAAGATTGCCTTGTTTTGCTAAATGAGTTTGAGTAAAATTACATCGCTTGGTTTTTCTCCTCCAGTGTTTTACCTGTGCCACTTGCCGAAATCGCTTGGTTCCTGGTGACAGATTTCACTATGTCAACGGCACCATTTTTTGTGAGCATGATCGACCAGGTGGAGCTTTGCTCAGTAGTCATCTGACCCCCCTGCAGAGCAACACCCTGCTGCCCGACCAAAAGGTATGATACAAACACTAACAACTGATTTAAATAAAAATAATCTGCAAACTTATTAACACCCTGATTAAGCCTGCACAACTAATCGATTTGAAACCGAAATCCCAATTTGAAGTGTGTGTAGGTGAGGTAAAGTTTCCTCTGCTCTCTCGGCTGTTACAGCGATACTTGTGGATCAGCGTGGCTATCATGGATCAGCTGTGATAACCTTGCATTATAGACTGTAACCACGTATCCACGTCACTCATCGGTAAAAAACGACAGAGCCGCACTGACCGTTAGAACCAATCGCAGACCTTTCTGTTGAGGGCGGGAACACAATGACCAATCACAGGTGTTTCAGAACTCGCTCGACAATGCTCAAAAAGCAAATGGGAGATTTACATTTATTTATTTGCTATAAATACGCATGTTGTTCTGTTCATGTACTTGAATTTGATACATTCAAAAAGTGTTTTCTTTGAGCAGGTAAAATTAAAGGTACAGTCCAGTTATCTGACTGCTTGTTGGACAAAATTGTATTAAAAATTTTTTACAAAATTGTATTACAAATAATATATAAGTATAAATCTATTTTTAAATTTAGCATTTTAATTCAAGAATTCTTGTGATTTAAAGTAATATCTAAAATTGTTTATAGAAAGCATTGTTAATTCACTGTAATGTCATGAAATTAATATCAGTCTAAATGAAAAGGTTTAAAAGGTTTGAAATATATACTGTAGTTATTTTCTTAATTTGTCATAATAACTGACAACATTTTTGGAAAAATGGTTTTAAATAAACAGTAGCATAGTGTAGTGTTTTTTGTGATTTATGCTTGGCCTTTCTTTCATGCTGTTAAAACCACCACATTAAACCTGCAGCGCTTTTAGGAAATTATAGTAAATCACATTTTAAATTGCAAATTGCAATTTTGATCAGATTTTTTTTCTCAGTCATTCAAGCCTAACCCAGATATACTTAGTAGTAACAAAATAAAATAACGAATTGACCGTATCAGGCAAACTAAAGTTCATTTTAGGAGTTTAAAACAACTTGCGAAAGTGAACTTTCTAAAGACATTTACTCTGGATTATAAACACCTTCAAACTACAGATGGTCCACTGTGAGTAAGTGCAATAAGTAGGTGTGTGCTGAGGCTCAAGAGTCTGAGTTTTTTTGCATTCTCTGATACATTTCCTCTGGCTTGTTTGGAAAAACTCTGATAAGCTGCTTTAAACTATACTTATAGTGTAGTTATAATCGAATGAACTATGATCAGATGCTTTCTTATCTGCTGTTTTCTCACAGCTGCCATTTTAGTTATACAGTTTTATCATTGAGAGCAAATAACCTTTGCATATTTACATAATCATCTAAAAGTTGCTCTCAGCAATGTGGGTGAAAAATGTATGTTTACTAACACTGTAGTTGTAATGTACTGCTGTTTACCTCTAAACTACAATTGAGAAAGAATTTAATTTTGAGTATATTAGAAGCTTTTTTGTCACAGCTCTTTTCAACTGGCATTACAAAATTTGTCAATGTACCAGATGATGGGGGAAAAAAAACTAATTAGCTACTTGATCTTGTTACACAGGTGTGCTGAGGAAATCTGGATTTATTATTTGCGGTGTGCCTTCTCTTCAGTCCTTTCCTCACATCTTCCCTCCAATCTCTCCTCGTGAATGTCCACCTTCACCCGAGACCTTCTGCCCACTTCTGCGCATCCAGCCACCTTAAAAGAGTTCAGAACTACGCAAGTACTGTGAGTCACTTGTGAGACAATCACCCCTGACAAGGGAAAACGTAATCAAGTCGAAGAAAGACACGGAAGCTAAAAATAATCATACGCACTCCCTCAGATGCGGTCTGTGGTTATGGCTGGGATGACCTGACCCTGAAAGCCTTAGACTCATTTTCAAGAGCAGCTCTTTAAAGCTGGGGTGATGCTCAACACCATTTTGTTCCCTTTTGAGAATATTCTCAAGAAATGTTGTGGACATCACCTGACATTTTGGACTACGGATGGTGATGGTTTTTACTTTATGCCCTCAAAACGACATCCATATATCAAAAGACTTTTTCAGTGGTTGTTGCTTTTGTTTACAGGCCCTTTTCACTCTAAGTGTAAGTTTATTCCTTCCTTTTTTTGAACATGTTCTGTCGTCTTTGGTGCCTAAAAACATTTTTACTTCCGGTTTTCCCTTCATTGTCATTTACTTCCTATTAGCAAGTAATCGTACACATGCACAGTACAGATACGTGAACATGTATTGTTTTGTCTACTCGAGTTTAAGACATACGAAGAGCTCTTTTTGAAAGAGTTGGTCTCATGAGGAAACGGCATGTTTTTTTTTTCCTCCCCCTGAATGGTTTGGTAGAATAAATAAATCTGTATGCATATTCTCTAATAGAGACTGCTATTCAGTGTCTGCCAAGACTTTTGAGAGTATGACGGAGATGGAGAGTAAAATTGTACATATTTCATGTGCTGTTGTGTGTTGTGTTCAGTGGTTGACCTGTTTCCTTGTGTCCCCTGTTCAAAAAGAGGGACGTTCAAAAGTAAGATATCTGTAAAGGAAAAAAAAAGTACTTAATTAAATAATTATAACCATCAAAAATGCAGTCTTGACGTCTCTGCTCTGCCTACATCAATATTTGATGGTTTTGGCTTGGTGTGTTGGACACTCATTGGAAGTCGAGACGGCTCTCCAATAGTCCTTGGCCAAAAAACATGGTTCATTACCTTCCAGATTTCAACACAAACCCTTGTGTCTGCATCATTACAGAGAGTAATGAAAGGCATTTCAGCTGGCGCTTTCTCTTTCTCCTGCCGTGATTTCAGTCTGTGGATCTCGCTAAAGGGAGGTCTTGTGCATCTTTGTGAACGTCGCTACAAAATGAACGTTACATTCCCACCCTTTTCTTTCATGTCTAGATTTCATTTACTACTTCTAAATCTGCCTCTTTCTGATCTCATTTGCCGAGGTTTGAGAAGTTTTCTCATTATGGCATCTCTGGTAATTGCTTTTTGGCATTGAACTCCCTCGTATCTTGTTTATTTAATTAGCTAATTAAACCCATCTCTCTTTTTTCAACTACCTTTGGCCTGCAATCACAAGGTGTTCCTTCCCAATTTACTTTTACGATTAATAAAAAATGTTCCTTTCCCTCGCCTTTCTTATGAGAAAAATGGAAGCCAAGTTTGCCTCATTATGGCTGTTGGTGGATGTGGATGTGTTGGGTACGGGGTGTAAAAGCCAGCTGTGACTTTTTCACATTGAAGAACTCTGTGCTTGTTTGTGGGGTATTAAAAGTCGGAGGTTAGATCACACTCAGAAATTATGCTCTGCTTCGTAGGACACACTGTGTAGTTTTAAACGGACAAGAATCTGTGTGTGGAGATAATATGGGGAAAAGACCAATAGGGGTTTTCAATGATCAAAAACTCATTTTTGCCATGATTTACTAAAGACATCCATTTAAAATGTTATTTGAGTACTAAAATAGAAATAGCCCAAAAGTCTAGTCAGGCATGTTTAGAGCAAAAATCAAAGTGTGCAGCCCCAAAATACATATAAATTGTATTTTTACATATTTATACTCCAGATTTTATATAATTTATTTCAAAAAATGTTTAAATAAAATTTTTTTTAGAGCAGAGCGGATAATAATATTATTAGCTCCTTTCACACAGTGATAGCAGTAAATATCCTGAAAATATCCTGAGACTTAACTGATATTTTCAAAAAGAGCCTGTTCACACATACAATTCAATGAACTATGTGCACAGCCAATGATGAACTTCTGGTGAAAGGTTAATTTGACTATTTTCAATTTCATAAGGTTCCTTTTACAGCATCGATGCTGTAATTAAAATACATTCAGTTAAATAGACTTAAGCATTTATTTAGTTGTTCAAGCATAAAACGAGACGAAAGACCTTTTTAAACACAGGCGCCGCCATTAGCAGCAGGCTAGCGCAAAAACTCCATTTAAAATACTGGGGAAAAAATGTTTTTCCTTATTTTAAATACATGGCACGAAAAAAGATCATTTAAAGCAGTGCTTCTTGTTAGGTCGTATCCCCCAAAGACATACGGTACAGGTGAATTGGGTAGGCTAAATTGTCCGTAGTGTATGAGTCCGTAGTGTATGAGTGTAAATGAGTGTCTGTAGATGTTTCCCAGAGATGGGTTGCAGCTGGAAGGGCATCCGCTGCGTAAAAACGTGCTGAATAAGATTGCGGTTCATTCCGCTGTGCTGACCCCAGATTAATAAAGGGCCGAAAAGAAAATGAATAATTGAATAGTATTGAAGTACGTGATTTCGGACGCAGTCGCAGCCTGCATGTGTGAAAAGGGCTACTTAATATAAACAAATCTATATTGTGCTCAATGTCACTGGAACATTATTTCACTCTTTTTAATTACACATTTCATTCTCAAAGTTATTTGCAACATTAGACTTTACTTGCATTTATTATGCTTTTCATGTATAAAAAAAATACATTTTTGTAAATTTAATTTGACGCAGACACTAAAATACACACACATCTGGCTGTATCCAATACATTATGTTTTTATTTTCTTTCTTTTTAAGATTAAATGTATACAGAACACTGCCAGTGAAAATTAGATACACACTGCAAAATTGGTAAATATCAAATTGTTGTCTTTTTCAGTGTATGCATGAGGTACAATGTACATTAGATCAGGGGTTTCAAACTTTCAGTCCGCGACTCCTAAAGTAACAATGCTAGTGACTTGCAACCCCCTCATTCATCGGAGGTGGTTATAAATATAAAATCTTTAAGCACCCAACAATTGGCCTATATAAACATGAACATATTGACAACACAAAAAAGTGCAACAGTCTAACAATCATATCATTTTTTTTGTTGTCATTTTTTCATTTGTATAATTTAATATTAACCTCCGCTAAAGAGACTGGGGGACACAATGTTTTCAGCACAAGCCTATTCTTGGTTCAATTTTGGAGACCACTAATCAAAGATCATTCTTAATATTCAGTTGTGGCCTGTGTTCATTGTTAATGTATTTGATTGCCATAAAGGTGTCAGGAAGTTTAATCTGGTGCTATAAAATCCCGCTTGCTGCTGCTGACCTTAGTGTGTTGTTATTAATCTAATGTAAATACACCAATCCTATGAAAAAAAAAATCATTTAAAGGCTGATGGCTTTTCATTTTTATGTTGTTGTTCATTTACTATTAAGAACTATTATTTTTATCTTCTGTGGGTTATGGTCAAAATATGATCATTCTAATCGTTTAATAAAATTTATTTGACTTTTTTTATATCACCAAGCAACCCCATCATTGACCTGCAACCCCAACTTTGAGAACCATTGCATTAGATCATTCAGATATATTTTCTAAAGACCCCTCGCACTGAAAACATATTTGGGGAACCATAGCCTAAAGTCAGGAAAGACTACTTGAAAATAAAGTTACACTGTGGTAAATGAATTCTAGTGAATGGTTATATATAATGTTTTGGCAATTAGATTGTCACATCTGTGCTGTATCATTTACAAACCAAATTCTCACTCGGAGGTTTTCATAAATCCCAGCCACCTTGACATGCATCCCGACATCTCGCGTCTACGTGCTTACGATTCAGCACTCTAGAAATATCCTGTAGCTCGAGATCGTTAAGGAAAGTTGAAGAGAAATTCATTAACTTATGCAAATGATCCTAATTGCAATTATCTCCAGATCTTGATAAGTGAGAGGAGGGGTTAGTGAATCAGAAAAAAATAAAATAAAAACTCCCTTGGCCATTCGAGTAGCTCTTTGCATTCAAACCGACCACGCTTCAACTGCGCATTTCTAATTAGTCTGACATATTCAAAAGCCAATTAACGGTTTCTCAAATCAGAGCTCTACCACGAGGTTTTGCCAACTTGTAAAGGAAGGAGAAACTTTATTTTTAAGTGCACTGATTTCGAGAAGCCCTTGTCTGTGAGGACATGCCTGTAGTCTTCCCCCCTTCTTTCTTCAATTCACTAATTAATCCAATTAACACATGCAAATTGGTGTAATTACATTGTTTCCTCACCTCATGTTGTGTGAAGATGGGGAAAAAGCAGAACAGATGAAGAAGGGATGTTTTTTTATCATATAGCAGTGGAAGCAGAGTCTCTATACTTTAACGTTAATTCTACATTAAATCACGGCAATAAGGCAGTTCTGCTAATAAAGGTCAATAGTAAAATCAACCACTTTGTGACAACCTACAGCATAAACTCAAATCTATAAATAAATTATGTGTTGTTCTGATGCTAATATTAAAAGACAATTGTAAAAAAAATAGAAAAAATAAGGCTAATAACTGAATGAACATTGACATAATATAAGTGACTGGGTAAAATACTGCAAAATGCTTAATTTAAAAAAATAAAGCTTGGGAGCCATTTTTGTGCATTGTCTAATCTTAAGCAAGGGGCTGAGTGCACTGTCACAGTAGCTGGGTTTCTATTAACCTTCAAAGTATGCAAACCCAAATTGCGAATAGAAACTTAATATATATACCTAATGGAAAAATGTCAGTTTTGCAAGAACTTCCATTTTTTCACTTGCACAAGATGGTTCTTCAGGTATAGTTAAAAAAAGACTGCAATGATCATGCCTTAAAATATCAGACCCCCTAGTTTTTCATGATTTTTTTTTTTGCAATTAAAAATGATTGATTTTGTGGTTGTAATTCACAGAAATATGGACAATTTATTAAAAATATATTAATTAGTTAGAAAATGTTAATAAGTTAATAAAAACACTTATATGTTTTTCTTTTTCATATATATTTATATATTCTTATTCATATATTTTTATTTCTATTATTATTATTTTATTTATTTCCCAGAGATGAGTTGCGGCTGGAAGGGCATCCGCTGCGTAAAAACGTACTAGATAAGTTGGCGGTTCATTCCGCTGTGGCGACCCTGGATTAATAAAGGGACTAAGCCAACAAGAAAATGAATGAATCATTCTATTTAACATATTAGGTAGCCTACTATGTCAAGTGTGCAATCTGACATAATGACACAAATCATAAAATCTTACAAATAAAGCTTTATTTTGGCCTCTTGCCAAGACAAGATCTAAAACGATAGGGATTAAGCCTAAGGAAAGTTGTATAACTCTTATTTTTATCCACGATCTTACTTTCTCTTTCAAATTTCACTTCCTGGAGATTCTGTCTTCATTTATCTTACTCGGGACATGCGTTAAGGCTTCCCCTACAATAAAACACCTAAAACACAGATTGCCGTAAAAATTCGTCAATGACAGGGAAAGACTTAAGCAAAATAATTATCGATTTGATGCACATTAAACGTCTATAAGTCATGTAAATCAATAAGATGCAAACAAAAATACATCTAATTTGATAATATAGTTTGGAATTTTATATTTTATGAGATTATTTACATTTTTTGTGATTATTTTGCGTTTGAATTAAAAATTTTGCAGGATTGCAAAAAATCTTGAGTTTTTGTTGGTTTTGCGGTGGATTTAGCGTTCGCAAAATCATGAAAAATGCGGGGGTCTGAATCATATTGGTTAATGGTTTTTTAAGCTGATACTATTATTAATACTC